GTCTCTGTTTTCCCCCCCATCCCCCCCCCCCGTTTTTTTTTTTTTGTTTGTTTTTGTTTTTGTTTCCTATTTCAGAGAATTGGAAGCTAAAGCTACCAAAGACGTAGAGAGAAATCTTAGCAGGTAAGATGGGCGAGCCTTCAGTCTCCCGCCCCCTTTATAATCGTGTGTTTCCACTCTGCTTCGCCCTTCCTGGGTTTACAGACCTCTTCCCCCCCACCTCCCCCCACCCCATCCCGTGTCATTTGCTTTCGCACGCAGGGAACAGACATTCGGTAGAAACGGCCTCAGGGAATATTTGCATGGGGGGGGGGCATTGCAGGGGAGACGCGTAATTACGAGTGTGTTCGTTCTTAAAAAGAAAAGCAAAAGGCAGTTCTTGTAAACTTAGTTAAAGCATTCTCACCCTTTTAGAATTTAATTAGGGGACTTGTGCATTAATTACTATTGTAAATGGTTGCAGGCATTGTGTGACTCATGATTGAGGCGGCCCTTATGGCGGGCTGTCAAACTGTTTTGGCTTCCCCGTTATTACTTTGTAGCTAAATTGTTGCCTTTATAAAAAGATACTATGTGCTCGCATTTTTTGCTCTCTGTCTCTGCACATTGTAGTCAGGCGGATTCTGTTGCATTGGAAACAGTTTTGTCCTTGAACTTCATCAAGCATAAACTGCGTTTTGTTGTCCTTTGAAACATTTTAGTCTGTGTTCGGTGTGTGTTCTTTTTATCAGCTGGGAAAGTAATTAAAAATTGTTTTCAGTAAGTGATGATCACTTCTGTTGGGCCTGAGTGCTTTTGCACTGGTACCTGAAGCCTCAAATACTATCTCCAAGACAAGGGTTGTTTCTTGTCCCCCACCCCGAAGTGATGCATTTCTGGAAAACGTTTAGTTTTATTGAGCTGTAATTGCTTCAACATCAGGGAATCGCACGATACTTAAAGCCTTTTTCAGATCCATTTTAAAACAGGCTTTTTCTTTTCTATTCACTTTTTTTGCATCATTTTTGAACTCACAGAAACTTCGAGATTAAACAGCTTCATTTGTTTTAGGTCTTAATCTGGCTTATGCTTGTTTATTGGAAGTTCTAGGCTTATGTTGTGGTTATTAACACACTTGTAATTGCACAAATACTTTTTACCATGTAGAATTGTTCCAAATTTCTAGCTCTTTGAATTTATGTTAATCTGTTGGGGTGACTGTTAAAGAATCTGTTCTGTTGGCAAAGGAACAGTATTGGCTTATCCAGTGAGAGGTTTTTTGGAACTCTAAATAATTATGGAATCATTTAAAGGGACATTAAAGCTGCTATCGGTGACTAAATAACTGTCAGCTGGATGCTTAAACAAGTTATGTTGTCAAAAACTGGGAAAGAAATAAGATACAGAGCCAAACAAAATAGATTGAATTATTAAGGTGTGATTTTAATAACAGTGTAGGTTTTGGATCTTTTTCTCCTTCTGGTTTTGTTTTGTCAGGCATCCACATAGGTCTTGTGTCCATGAGGGTACCTAAAACTTAGGTGAATATTGAAATACAAGCATAATTTTCACTTCGTTATGATTGGGCAGAACTTGGAATCTCTGCTATTGGCCTGTTGGCCTTGTATCAGAATTTGAATTCCAGCCCTGCCATTTAAAATGACCTTGACTCCTGGCAAGTCATTTGGCCTTTCTGTGTCTAATCTATGAAATGAGAGGCTTGGTCCATCCAGTTACTAAGGTCTGTTAGGCCCCTTGGGTTACATAAAAAGGAATCCAGTGCTGTCAGTGTCCAAAGAGGGCATGTACAATCTGGTAGGGAAACTATATAATATGTACATAAATAATGGTAATTCAGGGTAGTTGGTGTAGGAGTCAAAAGGGGATGGCATCCCACTCATGTGCTTGAGGCACTTCAGTTGATTATAGATATGAAAAAGAAAAATAATGTGATTTTAAAACAGAGTGTCAGTAAGAAGGGACCAGTTAAGGTACTTTGAGTAGGGAGACAGGTGATTAGATTAGATGGGCACATGCTCCTTTTTTTCCCCAAGAAAAAAAAGTATCAGTCTTTGCCCATTAGTACCCTGCTCAGGAAGTCATGGCAGGTAGTATTCACCCTAGTAAACTCTGAGCATTTTCTAGGAACCAGTGAGGGGAATGTACCAACTGTTCATCATCTGCCTGCTGTACCCATCCAAAGACTTTGCATGCCTCTTCACCCTTGAGAGGTTGGGTAAATTAGGTGTTCTTAGCTGTACATATAAGAGTTTGAGGTAGAAAGAGGTTAAGTAACTACAGGAGGTCTTACCACTAGTCACTGCAAGAATCATCAGCCTTCATGCTGAAGGTAAGGCGCTTCCCTCTGAAAAATTGGGATTTTTTTTTTTAAAGTAGAACCCATAACTGCATGCAATATGTTTATCTTGGAATTTCTCACTATGGACCCTTCTTATATTTTGTACCAGCTAATTAATTATTTGAGGACTGTCCTTTGTAGTGTAAGATGTCCAGCATCTACCAGGAGTACTCCCTACTCTGTAATGATCAGAGTGTCTTCAGATTCTGACAAAGATCCATAGAAATGGAAGGTGGGGATGGGGGGTGGGCATCAATGTTTGGAGATCTTGGTTCAGGTTTTGAACATGAAAAGTCCCAAGTATATAAATGGTGCATTCATATAAGCATCTTTTTTGTATGATGGAAGCTCAGTAAACCTAGTATGTGTGTCTCCAGGGTGGAAGCTCTGTTCCGTGTGTGTGTCAGGGTTATGTTGTCATTCTGCTTTCCTGGGATAAGTGGCAAATCCTAACCAAGACATGCCAGGTGTCCAGTGGCAGTTAAGCAAAAAATGGCACAAGGAATAAATTTAGATCATTAGGTTAGCTAGTTTTTAAAATTCATTTTTGGTTTTGAGAATTGTCTTACTCTGTCAGTACCATGTGCATTCAAAAGAGGGAGCTGTAATGTCTAGACAAGGGTGACTACTACTAGAGTGGGATTTAGGAATCAAATCCATTTTGGCCTGCAGAGAGGATATTAGAACAGTAGATGTGAAGACTCGGAATCCAGTAAGCACACAGGAATTTGGTCTAGTAGAAATAGCAACCAGCTAATCAAACTGTCTTAAGGCATGTGATGTGGAGGGCTTTGAATGTCAGGCTGAGGACTTCTACATAATCTTTAGATGGTCTAAGGGGCCACTGCCTACCTTCTGATAGGATACCAATGTTATAGGAAACTCTTCCAGCCGGGGAATTGTGATCAGGTATGATTATGGGCAGTAGTTCTCTAGGTAAGAGTTGATGAAGATCTGCATGTAAGTTGTGGTAGAGAGAGATGAGAGGATGAGATACCAAGGAAGTGGAACCTGGGATTTCAAAGTAGGTTAGTTGTGAGGGGAATTCTCCATTTAGGGTAAATGAGAGATTGATCCAGCCTCCAAGTGAAATAGAAATTTATGTGAGGAGAAACAATGGTAAGTTATAATCACCAGTTTAGAGGGGAAACAAATCCTCCATTAATTAATACAACTCAGTTGATGCAAGACAATTTAAAAAGTTTTTTGTTGTTGTTTTTGGTTTTTTTTGGGGTGTGTGTGTGTGTGTGTGTGTGTGTGTGTGTGTGTGTGTGTGTATGGGTGTTTTGCTTGCATGGATGTCTGCACACATTGATCCCTGGTACCCATGGAAACCAGAAGAGGTAATCGGATCCCCTGAAAATGATGTTAGAAATGGTTGTGAGCTGCTGTGTGGGTGCTGGGAATCAAACCTGGGTCCTCTAGAAAAGTAGCCAGTACTCTTAAATACTGAGCTATCTATTCTTCCAGTCCCCAACAGTTGTAATTTTGAAAGTATATTTGGAGGCTACAGTTACAGAGTTAGTGAATATTCAGAGCTGGATCTTAAGGTATCAGCTGGTATCTGTTACTTTTCAAGTGAGAAAATTCTGATTGAGAGACAGTCTCCAATGACAGAGCTGGGCTTCTAACAGGCCTTCTCACTCCATTCTAGTATTTTCACTGAACATTAGATAAAATATACATTTCTGCTTTTTGGACAGAAAAAACCTCAAAACATTTATCTCAGTGTATCTCATGCCCATTCTAGTGGTTTCTGTAATTTATATGTATTGTGTAAGTAGAAGTTAACATAATTTGTGAATGTGATCCCTGCTTCCAAACCAACCATGAACAGCCATTGTATAGCAAATATTAAAGGTGCCATAAACCACATAGCGTCTGACCTGGGACACTTTCAGTTGAACCATGAATATCTGGAACAGATGCTATGTCACAGAGCCCAAGACAACACGACTAAGCCAGGGTATACCTCTCTCTAGAGGTTATCTATTGTTGCCACTGATTTTTCCATTGTTTAGGTGAAAAATCATTCTGGTTTAGTTAGGCTTTTCTGTTGCTTGCTCTGATGTGGATGGTAGGCTAGGCCTCTTTCTAGCTTAATTTGGAGATTACGTGGTAAACTAGTTGCTGGAATAAATGAATACAGATGGTGGGCTTAGCTTAAAACTGAAAATTTGCACATGAACATCATAAAAAGAATAGTTTATAATGTCTTTTGAATTTTGGTATGTCAAATATGTCTGAAAGTATAATTTGAAAGGCATAAAGTCTTTTACAATTTCATTTTATGACAACCCCAAAGTATTGCCCATGATTGGAAATAGTAAAATGGCATGTGTTACATGCATTTCATTCAGGCTGGACTAATCTTCTCCAAATGGAATAAAGTCCACCTAGTTTTCATTAAAGAAGTCATTTGAGGACTAGAGAGATGACTAGGCAATTAAGAGCTCTTGTTGCTCTCCCAGAAGATCCAAATTCCATTCAAGTTCAGTTCTTAGAACCTGAGTTGGCTTACTCACAATCACTTGTAACTCCAGCTCTGGGGGATCTGCTAGCCTCTTCTAGATTCCATAGATAATTGCACATACACACATAATTAAAAATAAAGTTAATCTTAGCAAAAAGTCATTTGTAACCTTAAGCAAAGTACCAAAACTAGGGTAGCAGATACTTCCACTTTTCATAATTATTTTGTCATTACACTCTATCCCCAAAATACAGCATTATGTCTTATACATTAAAGAGGATCTTGTACATAACAGTCAAATGATCAAACATA